GCATCGAGATCTCCTCAATTTGCAGTTGAGCTGGCTACATGTAGCTGTAAATTCCATGCTAACAGTTTCTTTTCTCTCACTTCTCGCTTGTGGAACTCCCTGCTTTCCAGCAAACTTTAATCTGCTAAAATTTAAATGCAATGTCAATTGCTATCTACTGCCCTCCTGATTACTTTTTCCTCTGCTCATTATTAATGTTCCTGTTCATAATTCCTCCACACCCAGTAACCCATTGTGTCTTAGTGTTTACTGTTTTGCCTGGGGTGATACCGATTTAAAAAAAAAAAAATACATATATATTAGTAATTTGATATATATATATATATATATATATATATATATATATTTACTTTATGAATTTTGAAGTAAATGTATCCAGAATCAAATTATCAATATTTTTCAGCCTTCTTATATGGCAGTGAATGTTGGACAATCTCATTACACATGAGGAAGAAACTTGAGGCAACAGAAATTTGGTTCTAGAGAAAGATGCTGAGAATACCATGAACTAAACATGTGACCAACAACAAAGTTTTCGAGAAGATGGAAACAAAAAGACAGGCAACAATTTATTTAAACTTATATATGAGATCAGAAAGAGACAGTTGAAACTTTTAGGGTACATAATGAGGAAAGAGGGCTTAGAAAATTTGACACTCACAGGAAATATTAAAGGCTAGAGGGACAAAGAAAAACAGTGCACGACCTTCCTAATAAGCTTATGCAAATGGTTAGCAGAACAGTGTTTAGGATAGATAGTAAAAAGATAAAATTTACTAAGAGCTACAAAGGAGAGGAAATTGTGAAGAGCCATGATCGCTAATGTCCTGAAAGGACACAACATAAAGAAGAAGATGCATTTAAATGGTTTGCAGAGAGGTAAATAGTGTTCATTTATATTTTAGTATATAAGTATTTATTTGGTTTAATGCATATTTGAGGTGCTACAGACAAGGCAGAACAATTGTAAAGTAGATATTAGTTATAAAGTAGTAAAAGAAAGTAATGTGGGATTAAGTTTTTGGAACTAATATATAATATCTATAATATATATATATATATATATATATATATATATATAATATAATATACATATATATATATATATATATAATGATTATATTGAATCAATTGCTCAGTTAGCTTTTTTGGTTCACTGTGTTGTGCCAAACAATTTTTCTCACCAAAATCCATCTTGAACATTTCTAAATCTACCTTCCATTGAATTGTTGGTGTGATATCTGGTCTGGTGCTCCTGTAATATATCTCAAGATTTTCAACAAAATCCATAGAAGAGTCTGTAATTTTATCGTTCTTAACCTAGCATCTCAACTTCAATCACTCTCCCACTGGCATGAAATGGATTTCCTCTGTGTTTTCCATAAATATTTTCCTAGCAATTGTTCTAATGAGCTCTCCCCATTGATACCTCAACTGCATGAATTTAAGAGTAGTACTTGATTGACAAAATTGGTCTCATCATTTTTCTGTTGAAATATCTAGATACAGCTGTAAAATCAATTCTAATAGTCTCTTTTCTTGCCTGCGAAACTCTCTTCTGGTTCCTTGCCTCCCTGCCACCCATGTTCTTCAAAAATTTAAATTCCATGTCAGTTGACATCTTCTGTCTTTATGAACCCTGTTCTTTTATTGTCCTTTTTCCTCACTTAAGTATTCTCATTCTCTTTTACCAGATCCCACCAATTAATCTTTTGTGTTTTAGTGTCATCACCTTACTTGGGGTAAAATAACTAAAAAAAAAACTGTGTGTGTATATATATATATATATATATATATATATATATATATATATATATATATATATATATGTGTGTGTGTGAACATTGCTTCACTGTGAAATTCCTTCATAGTTGAGCAAGCTGTGCTATATGGCAGTTCCCCACTCTACATAAGAGGGACACAGGTTCAAACCCTACCAAAGAGCTCTTACTTCATTAAAAATTCTCGGTAACTCAGGTTAGTAAATGACAATTATGCTGTTTAAAAAAAAAAAAAAAAAAAAAGAAAGATCTGCTCAAATATGTATGTCCACTACATGAATAAATCTTCCCTGGTCTTTTGAACAGGAGTAGGTGTTTATCTATTGTTTTCAGTTTGGGATTGGGTTTCTGGTTCCTTCTAAAGTCTACCTCTACTCTATACTTCTAATGTCTCTGCCTAAACTCTGAAATTTATCTATTTATTTCATTCAATAGGAGTAGATAGGTTTGCATATAGTCTGGTTCACACTCCTCTCTGATTTTTGAATAGGAGTAAAGTTTTATTCACTGTTTAGGATTTGGTTTCCATTTCCAAAGATTTTTCATTCTCTTTCACTCTCAGTAGCCTCTTGCATCTTAGTGGCATTATCACCTTGCTTGAGGTGAATTGATAAAAAAAATATATAATGTTATTTGTGGTAAGAAATATATACATATATGTCATCAAATGAGAGATATGAAATATGCAAACAAAGTACATAAGATGGATGATATGAAAACTAGTTGGATGTTTAAATTTTTATTCTGCAGCTAACATTTTGTACATTCAGAACATGATAAGAACAAATGAAAACTTGCAGAAAAATTTTTCTGACAGAATGGTAAATAGATGACAAAACATCACCACCAGAAAAGTTTTTTTTTTATTTTAACTAAGTCTACACAGAATGTGATTTCTGATAAGCATATGAATTCTTGATTTTTTTGTTTCTTTTATTGATTTAAAACAATGTGGGATACAAAAACCTTATAAAAAACAATTTAGTTGTAATAAGCAAAATATAATCAGCAAATTCAAGAACCATTGCTTTCGTCCACTAAACTATTGTCCAGTGGTACAATCCTGAATCTAAATATGTGAAGAAAGGCTAGAGAAGAAGATGTTGATGATGTTCTGACTATAAATAATGTATGTAATTTTCTTGCAGAATATACCATATATACTTGCATATCATGTGACCTTTGAAGACCTAATTTTGAAGCTAATTGACTATACCAAATGGATATATAGGTTGGTCAACAGCGTGACCAGAGCCAGCAGTACATACACTAATTTTATGTCTCATGTATGATGTGACCCCCTTAAAAGTAGCTTGAAAATTAGGTCTTCAAAATTCACATGATATGTGATAAAATATATGGTAAGTATTAAATAATCAACCTTTTTGTAATATTTACCTGAGATTCACAGTTTTCTTTCACATGTTAAATTTATTATAGAACATTTAACATCTGCTTACTTTTTATACATTGTTTTACTATTTCCATTGTCATTAGAGTGAATGAACATTCTGACACATTTATTTAATAAAGTGTTTGGCTGATTTAATATTTTACACCCCTCAATAACCAATTCATGAATTAGATGCAAGTAAATTCATATTTAACTAGTCAGATTTGAGTGAAGCATCTGAAAAATTGAGTCACAATGAAATAAATGTTTCTAAACTTTGAAATTTTCAAAGAGTCTTTAAAATCAAAATATTTGAAATAGAGAATTTTACATGATTTTTGTTAGAGTATTATAGAGTAGAAATATTATGTAAAGGGGTATTGAAATGTTCTCATATCGACTAATTTATCCTCCAATTCAAGTCTTGATAGAGTTCAAAATCATTTCCACAATCTTTTGTATGTAATGACTTATTATCCACTAAACAGCCTCTATTTTATAAATCCAACATTGCAAGTCTATTGCTATTCTATTGATATTTCCATAGCAAATGTTCAGATGAGCTCCACTATTTTGTTTCATCAGTTCAGACCTTTACAGCTAGAATTCTCCATGCCATATTTGTGGAGTCTAATCACCCACATTTTCTCTGTGCTCTGTTCATTAGAAGAAGATTCCACTCGAACAGCTTTCCCCACCCCCATAACAAATGCTACTCAATGAAATGAGTGATTTAAATCAAATTTCATTCAAGCGTTCATGATGATTATTATTTTCAAATCAGTTTTTATTTAGCAGAAATTTGTTTACAGTTTCTACTGTAGGGTAGATTGTCATCTTATTGCAACAGTAAGATAAAAGATAAACTCATCAAAATGAATAAATTTGACATTATTTGAAAAATAGTTTCTAGCCTGACTTATTAATGTTATTAGAAATATGTTGAGGTGCTGAAAATTTCTAAGCCCAATCAAGAAGTCCTTCAAAAAAAAAATTCTGGTTATATTTAGTCAGATTTTTGTAAGTGACAGAGAACTTTTCAGCAGCCACCATATAATTATTACTGATGAGCATAGCTAGTTTAAAAATAAATTATATATCACATTTCCATTGTAATGCAATATTAAATTTCTCTTTTTACATAAATTCTATAAAATGATATTTCCTTTTGAAATGTATGATAATATTTTTTGTATTTATTCATACATACATATTATGGGGTGCTGGAAAATTTTCAGCCCAATTCACTTCCCAAAATCAGTGTCTCAATGACCAAACCTCAGAATACTGATTTTAGGATATAGGTTAAGCTGAGAACTTTTCAGCACTCACAAATGTGTGTGCATATAATATACACACACACAAACATACATATATATATATATATAGAGAGAGAGAGAGAGAGATATATATTATACATAAATATAAAAATTTTTTTGTCAATTTTTCAGATTTTGACTACTACTCACCCGTCTCATCTTGTTCAAGGAACTTTCCTGGGAGCTGTCGATCTTCCATAACTCGACCTTTACCTCCTCTTCCAATTTGACTTCAGTAAGTTTGGGCTCGCAGATATCACAACATGCTTTTCAAGAAGATATCTCGCTTGTTCTCTGAATTGGCCAGAATATGCACACATGAAAGAACTAAGACATGCAAACAAAACCCCAAATACAATCATAATACAATCTTGGTGCAATCAAAATTCTGGGAGTTAAGAAAATATTACATTAAGAAGTGAAAAACTTTAAATAGCTGATTTTAACTTAAAAATAGGGTTTAACTTTTTAGATAAATTTAGTCATATATATAAAAGAAATTCTTAGAGCTCCTGAATTTGTAATATTTATTTTTATTTTACTTTATTTGCTTTCATTTCTCCTCTTTTCTGTTCTCTCATTCCTGACTTTTTCTTTTCTCATTTTTAATTTTCTTTTTACTCCTTTGTTTTTTTTCTCTTTTTCTTTTCTTTTTCTTCCGTCTTTTTTTCTCTTTTTCTTTTCTTTTTCTTCCGTCTTTTTTGCTATTTTTCTTTTCTTTTTCTTCCGTCTTTTTTGCTATTTTTCTTTTCTTTTTAATCTTTTCTCATCTTCCTTTGCTTTTTACTTTTCTGTTTCCTTTTTTTTTTTTTTTTTTTTAGACGATACATCGTTGACCATTATTATCTTTTGATTAATATTTACTTTCATTTTAATTTTTAGTAGCTTTTTTTTTATCATAACCTCAGTTATAAATTCTATAATAGTAAATAATTTCCAATTTCCACTTAATGTTGACAAAAGTAAAATTATTAAAAATGAGAAAGTGTTTTAAAACTATATTTACTCACATTTACATAAATAATTTAGATTTTAATTTGGTTTTAATAAATGAAAGTAGGCAATTTCCTTTTGGACATTTTAACAGATAAAATTATTAGTAAGTAAGAATTACATATTGTGTTTAGAACCTATTTTCATTATTTCTGTATTTAATTTATTATTATAAAAATATTACAATAAATTTTGAGTTTTTATTTTTTTAAATTATAAAGTAGTATGCTGACAAAAACTTTAGCAAAACAGTTATGAAATTAAGCCATTTTTTAAAAGAATACCTAGAAAAACAATCCCGAATAAAATATTTGCCTTTAAATTTAAATATAGTTCAAGTTGAGAGTGAGTTGTCTTGGAAGTCAAGTAAATGTCCTCCACTTTTTTTCCCAAACCACCTACCCAGAGATTATTGGGACTAATTTGTTTATTAATTTTTGGCTCTTTTTGATGGATATTTATTTATATTGTAACATTGACATGACTTCTTAGAAATATTTTCATTTTTACTCCAAGACATTGAGGAACATTTATTTCTTCAAGGTCTTATCGCAGATTTAATTACTTGTTTTTAATCATTTCCCAAAAAACCCACCCATTGACCCGAACTATTCATTAGGTTCCCATGTTCCCCCCCACCACATTTATTAGATTTTAGTTCTTTTTCAAACCAACCGATTTATTTGCACTCCAACTGGACATTTTTGCAAGTAAATGTTTTGAAATTCAGAGTTTAATGGAATATTTAAATAATAAAAAAAAAAAATAGGGTTTACTTTTCAAGGAATGAAAAGAAAAATCTACATGTTCAGGACATAGTTGATCATAGCTCTCCACATCTGCATGATGTGAATTGCCACATGTATTCTTAGTAAAAGTAATGGGATGATTTCTCATTGCCTTGTCTATGATTTTCTTATTCTATTATTCTCCCTACCACAGCTAGAGAGCTCAGTTTACTCTACTTTTTACTGGTTTTCAGTAAATATTATTACTGAAATGTGATTATTATTTTTTTTTTTTGTTGATGAAATTTTTTAAAGGGAAATGATAAGTTTGATAGTAAAAATGTTTTGGTGATTATAATGCAATAATAACAGGATTTATCAGAAGAATTGAAACAAAAATATGGAAAAATTACTTTCCCCAAAATGTCATGTTTGTGAAAATAACTGAAGTGGCTTTCTTTGATAAAACGGTGGTGTTCTTTGTTTTATATAGAATGAAAAATTAATAAAATACAAAACTGTACAATGAGAATTACAAAATAGTACCAATCAGTGCAGAAAAATTGACAAATAGAAAGAAATTTCTGTCAAAAATAAAGAAAACAAAGGAATTTTATATAAAATTTATTAAATTATTATTATTTTTAATTAAGTTTCAGTATAGTCATATTTACACAAAAAAGAATGAATATAAGGAAAAAGTGTTTGAAGTCCATATAGGGATTACGACGACTGAATGATTGTTTTTTAATCATCTTCAATGAAGCCACAAAGCTGCAAGCAGTTACTGAGAATGAAAGAAACACAAAGAACAATAAAAGAACAGGACTTAAAGAGACAGAAGATGACAAGTAACATTACATTTAAATTTTTGAAGATCGTAGTTGATAGGAGAGCAGGAAGCTGGAATAGACTTCCACAAGTAAGAAGAGCAAGAAAAGAAAATATTAGCATAGAACTTAGTTACAACTAGGAATTTCAACAGTGAAATGATGAGACCTATCAGCCAATCTAGTGCTGCACTTAAATTTGTGACATTGATATACCAAAGAGGAAATCTCATCAGAACAATTACAAATTTAACTAGATTATACATCTGTTTTGGTGGAAATCCTCTTCATTACTTGACAAATAGACTGGCCACACAGTTCACACGTAGATTAATCCATATCTACCCTGTTAGGAATTCTGCTTTCTTTCTTTTTTTTTATCTTGTATGTATTTATGCACACTCCAAAAACATGTCTATATGCATTGAACTTTGCTTATTCTTCATTCTGTGATATTTAGACTGTTAATAAAATAAGGAATTAATTATTGCTTTACACAGGCCAAAAGTAAAATCACAATCAAACATCTTAGAATATCACTTCTGTAAAACTAATGAAGCTTGTCTATTTGCTGTAATTACATCATTTGTACATTTCAAAATTTGTCATCTCAAGTAAGTTTGCGAGCAAGATTATCTCCCAAATTTTGAAATGCATCATTTTTATGAGAAGTCAGTCAATTGTAGTGTACATAAATTATGAAATAGATTAATAAAAACTAATTAAATTTATAAATAACAAATTTAAATTTAAGTAGCTTTGGGATTATTGATTTTATCTTTCAAACCTGTTGGTATATTTAATACTGAAATGTCTTCTTTTTATTATTATATTTAAGCCAATAAGTATTTATAGGGTTTCAGGATAGTTAAATTTTGGTCATTTGTATTTAAGTCTGTAAGCATTTATTAGTTCAAGAGATAGGTAAATATTGGTTGTTTATATTTGAGTTTGTAAGCACTTGGTTTTGTAATAGGTAAATATTAGTGTTTTATATTTGAGTCTACAAACATGTACTGGGTTCAGATGTAGATAAATGTTGGTTGTATTTGTGTTTGTAAGCATTTATTTGGTTTATGTAGAAGTAAATACTGATCATTTATATTTGAGTTGATCAGTATTGACTTGATTTGGAGATAAGTAAATATTGGTCATTGATATTTTTGTCTATAAGCATTTGCTTTCTATGTAGCCATTTTCTGGAGGTATTACCTCTTTCTGGGATATCTAGTCAGCATATACTGCTGATAGGATAGTTTCATTTTAAAATAATAACAATAGTAAAAGAATGTATGGAACAATCTTTTTTACATGTACACAAATTAGCTCCATTTGCAAATGAATTTTAAGAAGTACTTCAGTATAGAAATTAAAGAAAATGGACTGAAATTCTCATTAAAATGAAATTGACCAAACAATGTAATAATCTTTTGTATTTTCTTAATATAGGGCAGTTATGCTATCTATTCGTAATTATTATCAATAATTCTATGTCAGAGGTAATTTTGTGCTCCCTCATATCTCTACCAGGGGTGTGTATAAGTAATAGTCTTCACATGTCTTGATATGGTAATAGTAATATTAGCTGTTTCCTTATAAGGAAACATTCAGCATTCATTGAAGTTCTACTTTTGGTTAAAATTTATAAACTCTTTGTCTTAAAACAGTTTTTCAAGAAAATAGTCTTCTCAAGTCCAGTAGCTGTTAATGCTCTTTCCAATATTGGTGGGGGAATTCCTTCCTTGCTTTTTGCTTGATGTAGTGTGGAATGTCAACATTCTGATTGTCATCATTCACTTTTTGAGTTAAATGTCCTACCCATTTTAGTTGTTGCTACTGTGGAATGTCCTTAAACTTTCTATGGTTTCTGTTATTTGGTACAGTTCTTTGTGTTTCTGTAGTGCCAATACATGAATGTTCGAAGGAGGATGGTCCTCACGATGACCTACTTGTTTCACTCACTTGTAAAGTCATTGTAAATCATTGACGTGAAAAAACGGTTGTATACAACTGACAATTTAGATATTTCTGAATGAGTATAGCACCATGTAGGACATCCATACAAAAGACTCTATCTCATGATAATGGTAATTGTTTGGCTGAGCTCTTTGCCATGGTACCTAGACTCTATGAATTTAAACATAGTAGTAGACTGGCAGTGAAATCTCATCAATTTTCAGTTGAGCTAGCTAGATGTAGCCTTAAATTCTATGCTAACATTTTCTTTTGTCGAACTTCTCACTTGTGGAACTCCCTTCCAGCTTCATACTTTCCAGCTAAATTTAATCTGCAAAAATTTAAATGCAATGTCAATCACTATCTACTGTCCTCATGATTACTCTTTTCTCTCCCTGCTGATTAATGTTTCTGTTCCTAATTCTTCCATATCCTGTAACCCCTTGTGTTTTAGTGATTTTACTGCCTTGCTTGGGGTGATACTGATTTTAAAAAAAAAAAAAAAAAGAAAGAGAGACTATTTAAATAGTTTTGAGTTTTTAGGTTAATGTTTTGGTTTTACAGTGTCTTGCAGTGTTGGTTAAAATTCTCCCTAGCACAGCCTATTATCTGTTCAATTTCCTTATCTTTCCTATACTAAATTTGTTACATTGAATCCATTCACAGTATTAATTTCATAACCTGAATCATTATGATAGGTGTCATTCTTGCTTGCCTCTATCTTCAAAAACATACATATGCACTTAGAAATTATTCATGAATACAAAAGAAAAAAGAACTGGGGAAGTCTGCAGACTGAAATATTTTTTTTTATATTAACATGTAGTTAGACCTTAAATACATACAGAAAACAGATAAATATAATCAATGCATTAATACCGAACATAAAATTCAGTATTGTAGGTTTCTAAGATAAAAAAAAAATCTAGTATTCTAAGTTTTTAAAAATATCCATTATTAATTATAGGTTTCTACCTATAACCCCAAAATAGTTCAAACATATTCAAGTCATACAAAAACACAGATATCGGAAGCAATGTATGCATACAACTAAAAAATTAGGATCAAACTAATTACAATGAATAATGCATTTAGTTTATTTTTTAAAAGCCCTCTATTGTATTCATATAATCTTTTATTCCAGTATTTCTTCTATTTTTTTTAATCATTTCACTCCAAGCAATGCAATAATGCTACTAAGACACAAGGGGTTACTGTGAATAAAAGAGAATGAAAAGACATTAGCAAGGAGAAAGGACAATAAAAGAACAGGATTCAGGAAGGCAGAAGATAGTGATTGATGTTGCATTTAAATTTTTCAAGATTGTAGGTAGGAGAGAAGCAAG